AAAATAAGGTTAGTTTTACCTGATTTGACCTTGATGAAGCCAAGGAGTTCTAAATAATTGCACCTCCCTTTCCAAATCATCAGAATAATTTTCAGGCTTATACAATAGAAGAATAACTGGAGAGCAGAGATCTAGGAAAGAAGGTTATAATGTCTCTGGCAAGAATGAAACACATCATGCTTACTGGGATAGAGTAGCCCTCAAAGCTAATATCAGCCAGCTAACATTTATTATGTATCTATTATGTGCCAGGCACTGTACTAAGGACTGGTGGTCTTAGGTCACCTAAAGGAAATAACAGTGTCCAGAACTAGGAAGGTGAGAGTCTCACTATATTCAACCCTAGTCAGATAACTTCTAAAATACTACATTAGGTTCTAGGTACTACCTTTTGATAGGAACACTGTTAAACTGGAGAGTATACAGATGATAAAGGACCTTGAGATCATGCCACATTAGGATTGTTTGAAAGAACCAGAAAGGTTTAGCTTAAAGAAGAAAAGACTTGGAGAGAGAAGCAGGATAGCTCTCTTCAAGTTTAAAGGACTAAAACATGGAAGAGGGGTTGTTTGTTCTACATGACTTCTGTGGGCAGAACCAGGAGCAAGTGGTAAAAGTGGCAAAGAAGAAAATTACTCTTGACATCAGGAACAACTTAGCAAGTAGAGCAGTTCCAAAGTAGACTTGGGCTGCCTTGGGAAATAGTGCTTCACAAAGGCTGAAAGATCCCTCATCACATAAGTTGTACAGAGAAATTTTGTTCATTTGCATGTTAAACTAGCTATCCTCTGAGGTCCCTTCCAACTCTGATATTCAGTGCTTCCATGTAGTTTTTGAAAAAGGTCTTATACTCAAATGGATCAGTGATCCACAGATTTGGAAACTCCATCTAACAATACACATCGCAACCCAGTCATGCCTGATTAAGTCTGTTTTCCAAGGGCCATCCTAGAATTATGGAGGGGCTAATCACTAGGAGGCAGGCCCATCAATAAACTGGCCTTCTGGTATTGAACTTTTTTGACCATGGTAAGCCATAAAAGAAAGAAAAGTAAAATAATTTTCAGATTCAAAAACTCAATCTTACAAGGACAAGATAGGAGAGACTTAACTTGATAGAAGTTTGTCTGAAAAAGATGTAGGGATTGTAGGGAAATGTGAAATCAAATAAGTCAACAGTGTGATATTGCAGCCAAAAAAAAAAAGCTAACATAACCTTAGTCTGTTTCTGGCAGAGGTACTCAGGATTAGGGAGGTAATGATAGTCCCACTGGTTTCTCACCTGATCAGACCACTGTTGGAGTGCTAGATACTGATTTTAGGAGGGACATTGATAATCTGGAAAGTATCTGGGAGGGGTGATAAGGATGGTTAGGAGGCTCAAAGTCATGCCATATGAGGATATAATGAATAACTGGGAACAACATACAGAAGATGTGAAGATATCAATTTAGGGGTGCCATTAGAATAGGCTCCTTATATCTAGGGTCATATAGAAACTCATTTATTTGATATTTAAAGCCCTTCACAATTTGCCTCTAATTTCCTTTCCCCTTATTTTATCTATCTCTCTGCTTCATATACCTTATAGTAGACTAACAAACATTCTTGCTATTTCTCAGACATAACACTCCATTTCTGTGCCTTTTCTAGTCCATTCCCCCATATGAAAAATATGCTTCCTCCTCTCCTCCACCTACTAAAATCCCTATTTCACTTCAAAGTCTAGCTGAAGTACCACCTTCTACAAAAGGTCTTTACTGATCCTCCCAGTAGCTAGTACCTTTCTCTTTTAAAAATTTACATATCTCTTATATACTCATGAAAGTATATGTTGTCTTCCTTGATAGAATATAAGCACCTTGAAGGCAGGGCCTATTTCACTTTTGTCTTTGCATCTAGCACCTCACACACAGTAGCACTTTAATAAATGCTTGTTAATTAATTGACTTATTGACTTTCTAACAAGTACAGCTATCTAAAAATATCATAGGCCATTTTAGGAGGGGTTAATTTCTTACTTACTGGAAGTCAGTGAATATATCTCAGGCCTAATCAGGACAAACTTTTTCTTTTGGAATGAGGTGGAAAAGTGAAGGGTTGGGTCACTCTGTAGGCAAAACTTAGATTTTTGAGAGTGGGGTAATGAATTAAATTATTTTTCCTATAGAACATTCAAGTCGTGATGAATATCGTGGGTCCTTCCCCTGACTGCTAAACCCAGCCCTAGTGCAGTAGGATTTGAGGGATCTGCTTGCCTTTCTGGGAAGCTATTTGAGGAGATCTCTTCTCCTCTGACCCAAAGTTAGAGCCAATGTAAATAAACCAAAATGAAATTCTCAGACAGTGGCAACTCAAGGAGAAATCTGAGCCTGTTACATTTTGAGGGCTTGGGCAGTTGAGCAGCATGTTCAGGCCTCAATTTCCTGTTTCTTTCCTCTCCCTTGTGATTTCTTCCAGGTATGGCTATAGGAACCCCTGGCTACTCAGATCCATCTCAGGTTCCCATTCTTTAGTGTTCCTGGATCAGACGCCTGACCTCCACAGACCACTGGCCTCATCAAACAAATGCCTTGTTTTGTTTGGTTGGTTTTGTAATTTTCCATTTCTGCAGGTAAGAAAATCAGCATTGACACAATTATCCCAACCTTTTATTGACTGGCTTTCTTTCCTCTGCAAAGGGGTCCCACACCATGTAGTTGCCTGTGTGATTCAGATACTTATTCCCCTTGACCTCTGTTTTCAAGGAACAGCATGAGGCATTCAGAACAGTTCTGGGTAGAAAATCTGCTCTTTGAAGTCACAGCTCGAGTTTGTACTGGTGAGGTTTACTTCATTTTCTACAGGGCTAGAGAGACAGATACTGTTTTGTTATTGAGCGAGTGAAACTGCAGCACTGTCCTTGATAGGGGAGACAAGCAGTCGCCTTGGTATCTCAAGGATTTTTTTTTTAAATCGCATCAATGAACAGTGTCTTATATCTCAGAGGCAGGCTTTCAATCCCTCTGGAGGACTGCAAGGGGAGCTCGTAGATGGTACAACTTTTACTCTGAGTGGCATCAAACATATGGGCAATGAATGGATAACTGGGTAAACCTCTAGCAAGAATGAAGAAAGCTTAACTGGTACGAGAAGACAGCAGAATTAACTCCAGATCTGGTTATGGGCACTGATTCTGAGTTTACCAGAGCCTTTTCTTTGACGTGGGTCTTTTTTTTTTAAATAAATAAAATGCGAAGGATTGCTTTTTTAAAAATCTAGACTTTCTGTGGCTCCAAAACCAATACAATTTGATCTGCTGATTACAAATGACTTACTTTCTTATTCAGCATTAAAATAAAATGAAAGGAAAACCTTTCATTCAAACACAACATCAGTGCAGGCAAAAGACTAGATTGATTTTGATCCATTCTTTTTGATGCCCTAAGACCAGAATATAAGCTAGCATTGATTATCCAGTCCTGGCTAATTTCACTTCCTATCTGAGTATTATTTCCTGGTTAAGGAGGGGAAGGGAGAGAGAAAGCCCAACACTTGAAAAAAGCCTGCTTTCACTGAAGTTAGCCAGATTGCCCACTCAGAACCTATCAGTATTTGCCAGGCTCTCCATCTAAGAAGGAGCAGGTTCAAGACCTGGCACTGTCTAGCCGAATGGCACTGCTCCCAGAACTCTCATCCCACTAAAAAGCAATTGTGGGATCTGGACCCTTCACTATGCAGGACAAATGATCAAAATGAAAAGCACAATGTATGTGAGTGGAACCAGAAACTTGAATCAAGTGGTAATCACTTCCTTAGTATAGACTAGATTTTTTTTTACCCATGTAACTTGGTCCAGTATTTCATGCCTTAGCTAAGGTAATAGTACAGATTTTCATTTATCAGTTGATAAGTGAATGTGATTACCATGATAACCACTGAGTAAGGTAGGTTACTAGCATTGGCAGTGAGGAGAAGTGGAAAATTATTTTGCTTCCATTCTAAAATGGCTCAGGGGAGATGGGAAGGGATTGATATTGATCAGAAAGCTATAAAACATGACAAAAGATGTCAAGTTGGAGAGAACTAGATGTACATTCTCCATGGCTTTATGAAAGGGATCATACCAGATACATAGGCTTTGGCAAATGGGGCAAAAAATTAATTGATTTAGGATTTAGGGAACCGAAAGCAAAACATTACTGAGGTGTTCATGGGAGTGGAATATATGCATAACCGATAGACTTTTTTAATATTACACTTTATAACTAATAGTTGATTTTCATGTTCTAGAGGCTGTCATTCTTCCTAGTGCTTACACCCAAAGATCAGGATTTGGGAGGAGCCTGGACACTAATTTGGGTTGAGCTGTAGATTCCATCTGTGTGACCTAGAGTGACACTATATATCAGCCAGGCTCAGCATAAAAAAAACAGATGCCGCTCTTAGCTAAGCTTTCTAAAATGAATAAATAGGAGGGGAGCATGGAATTAGAGTCCATAGACAAAATGAAAAACACTCCTTTTAGCTGGACCAATTTACTGCATTCCAGTGTTTTAGGCTCTGGTTCCTTCTAATGCCCTATTTCTAGTCCAGCTATGCTTCTCATGCTGTCATTTTGGAGCAAGAGTGTTGTCACTTTCAAATACGCTCCTCTCTTTATGATTGAGAGCTAGCAATGGTCCATCATCTCCTAATGGGATCATCAACTCTGCCCTTTGCAAAAGTATACGTGATGTGTACCCATAAAAACATTTGTTGATGGTTGAAAAAGGCAGCAATCTTTCCGACAAAAAGGAATCTGTTTTCTTTGGAACTTCAATACCTATTTGACACCTTGGATCTGACCAGTACAACTTCAATTTCTTAGAGTCAATTCGAATAAGAAGCAGTTGGCTGCTTCTTTCAATTTGTACCACTTCCCCCTTCAAGTACATGTACTATGTCCGGTGGAAAAACTCAACAAAGGTAGCTGTCGTCCTGAAACTTTTCATTCTCTATTCCCCATGTCACCAACTCACCAGAATTAAGTAAGATGATGGACTTGAGGCACACAAACTCTTCCCCCTGGAGATTCATCATTCGAAAGCGAGAGGATGTAGCCAGTAACATATCAAAGATCTCCACCATCCCTTCCACACATTTCCCCTGGTTCCTGTGAAAACAAAAATAGAGCTAAAGGATGGGTCTATATTCACAGAAGTGAACTGAATTCAAACCAGTGATAGGAATCTGTGATCCATTTTTCCCCCTTAGTGTAGATCATTTGAGTAAAAGAAGGCAAAGCACCTACAAATCTTCTTGCCCTGAATGTATATGTGTGTATATATATATGTATGTATGTACATATACATATACATATATGTATATATACATGCACATATATATATACATATACTTCAGTCAGTCAGTGAAATATATATTCAAATCTTAGAAAATAATTAATATAAGGGAAAGTATAAAGAAGGTAAGTTACAACAACCCTTGTTTGAATTGGGGATCTTTCCTAAACAACATAAGAGAGAACAACAGAGTTATAGAAAACAACCTGGTACAAATGTGTGCAATTTGATAATAGTGCAAGTCACTGACTATTGGATACAGGTAACTAATGATCAGCCCTGCCACTTATGGCCTATATCAAGAACATACTGGTCCCACTCTGTGTCAGTCAGATGTAGAAGTATGGAGCTTTGAAAGACTTGCTCTTCACCATTTTCCTCATGCTGCTCTCTGAATACAAGAGGAAGAAGAGATTTCTGTCTATACATTATCAGTATTGTCTTAGGACAGAGCACCAATGCCATAGGAGACATGCATTCACACACAGTCTTAGAGGTAGAGATGAGGACATTTTTTTCTTAAACTATAATTTTAGAGGCCATTGAGTCCAACCCCCTCATTTTATACATGAGGAAACTGGGGCCCAGAGATGTTAAGTGATTCCTCAGCATCATACAGCTAGTAACTATCTTGTCTAAGGTCACACACAGATAGTAAGTTATAAGAACAGGCAAGATCATGAGTAAGAAAAGTCACCAAACAGTTATTAAGTACCTATCATGTGCCAAGCATTCTGCTAAGTGTTGGGGATTCAAAGAAAGGCAAAAAGACAGTCTGTCCTCTCAAGGAACATACAGCCTAATGGCGGAGACAACAAAAATGTCTACATGCAAAAAAAGACACATAAATGGGACCCGTTGATAAATTAGATAAATTTAGAGGAAAGGCATGTGCATTGATGGGGATGAGGAAAGTCTTCCTACAGAAGGTTGGTAAAATAGTGTAGAGAGTGAAGTGAATGAAATAGAATACAAAGAAAAATGAAGAGGATCCAGGACAGAACCTAGGGAGACAAGGGGTATGACCTGGATGGAGATACAGCAAAGGAGACTATGAAGAAGCAGGCAGACAGGTTAGAAGAGAATCAAGAGAGAGTGCAGTGTCATGAAAACCTAGAGACAAGAGTATACCAAGAAGAGGGTGATCAATGGTGTCAATGGACACAGAGACACAAGGAAAGATGATGATTGAGAAGAGGTAATTAGATTTGGAGATTATTGATAATTTTGGCGAGAGGATTTTCAATTGAACAATGAAATCAGAAGTGAAACTGCAGAGCTAAGAGAATAAGAAGAAAGAAGGTTGAGGCACTAATTGTAGATGACTTTCTCAAGGAGTTTAGCCACAAAATGGAGGGGAGACATGGGACATTAGCTAGCAGAGATGGACAGATAATATGAGGGCTTTTGGAGGGTGAGGGAGACGTGGACATGTTTTTGGGCAATAGTGAAACAACCAGTGGAAAGGGAAAGGTTAAAAAGTGGTGAGAAAATAGAGGTGATAGGGTGAGTAGTCTTTTAGAGAAGAAAGAACAAAATAGGGTCATTTGTTCCTGTCTTGGCAAAGAGGAGGGTGTTCTTTTCTTATGAGACAGGGATGAAGGAGGACATAGAAGCAGAAGATATCTGAGAAGTGTATGAGAGGAGAGGAGGGAACTCTTGGTAAATGGCCTCAATTTTTCAGTATAATATGAAATGAGATTCTCACTGAGAGATGGGGTAGAGAAAGCCATAGGAGGTTTGAAGAGGGATGCAAAGGTTTGTTAAGGCTGATGTGGTGAATGGAATAGTGAATTAATTAGGGAGGTATAAAAAGATCGCCTCAGTTTCCCCAAGCACCTGAGATTATAAATTGCTGAGTAGGTTTTGATCAGCACTGGTTTAAAAAAAGTTTCCACCTTGAGAGTTCCTCTATACCAATGAAAATTACAGATTTGGTCCAAAAAAGAGAATGATACACAACCAAAAATCATACAAAAACAATAGGATACTGGCTTTCCTTAAACTATAGCTAATTAAAAAATGTCTACAGCTTAAAAAGAAAGAATTATACTGGAAAGATCTGGTTTACTTCTCATAGCCCATGTCTAGATGTCTTGAACCAGTGATCTCAATGTGTAGTGTATATCAATCCATTTTTGCCTTCAATTTTTAAAATTTAGATTTTTAAGTACTACATTTTTTCCAGGTAATTCAGTCTAGGTGGGGTTTCTTGCCTGAAATTGCCAAAAAAAAAAGTTTCTTAACTCTGCATTTTGTCTTGACTATAAAGCTGAATGCATGCATTAAAGGGAGGATTCTCTGAGGAACCAATAGGCTGAGCAATGCGAGAAAATTTCCAATAGATGTTCACTCAATAAAGATGGTCACTCCGAATAGTGGCTTTTTGTGTTGAGAGATCAAACGACAAATTTGGTTTTTTTTAAAGTAGCAATTTTTCTTTCTAGTGAAAAAAAAATAAACAAGGATGGAGAAAATGTTTGGAGAATGAAGCTTTAAAAATAACAACTCATAGCCAAAATAGAGAAATGTTCCTTTCTCAGTATAAAGTCTCTGTTTACTTAACAGACTGTACACCGGCAGGGGAGGGAGTTTAAGTGTAGGAGGAAACCATCATTCACCTGCTGTGAGCAAAAGTTCAGTTTAGAAACTGAGAAAGTAGTATCTTAATAACTATCCTTTCTTCTGATCCCTTTTGAATTCTGTCATTTTCCCCATGAAAAGCTATTTCTTTCATTTTCTCCTAACAAGTTGGTTTTCCCGAGTCTTCTTCCTCTTTGTTTTTCATAGGCTTTATTTCTAAGAAGGTTTGGCACATGTTAAGTACCCACAGTGAAAAGAAAGCTTTTTGAAACACATGAAAAGGCAAGTATCTGTGCTCTGAGGCATGTCTTCATGCTGAAACCTCCGGGCTCTGGGCTCTGGCCTCATCCCTTGTTCTATTGTCCCCAAGTATTTCAGTGAATTCAACAAAGACGTCTTAAAATCTGCCACGTGCTCTACATCTGTGGTAGAAGCTTGGGATGCAAAGGTAAAACATAACATAGTCCTTGTCTTTAGAGAGCTTGCAATATAGTGGAATGGGGCAGGGAGAGAGTGTTAGACAGGTATACATATGACTATTATTTCAGTTAGAATTCTCCAAGTATGCAGAGAGGTCAAAAGGAGAGGAATGGGAGATGGAGAAGTTGGGGTCATTTCTATTTGGAAGGATCAGTACACACAGTATCATGGATCCAGACCCAGAATGGAGCTGAAACACCATATAGACGAATCCCCTCATTTTCCAGATGAGGAAATTAGACCTGGAGAACTAAAATGACTTGTCAAAGGTCACACAAGCCAATCCCATCAGAACCAAGACTTGAATCCAGGTTGTCCTCTGGTCCCTTCGATCTGCTCTTGGTCACTATAGTTCAGCAAATGGTGTACTTAACCAAGGAAGATGCCATCCACCTCCAGAGAAAGAGTTGACAAATAGAAATACATATGGTATAGTCTTGTATATCTGTATATGTGTGTATAGATAGATATAGATACATGTGCATGTATATATGCATGTATGTATATACACATATACATATATATATATATATATGTTTAATTGTAGCCTTCTCTAGGGCAAGGTGGGGAAGGAGGGAGAAAAAAATTAAAAAGTACACAGCAGAGAACAAAAGAAAACTTAGAAAAGGAAAAGCCAGGTAGCTTTGAAAACAATGTATAGTATTTATTACATAGGTTTTCAAAAAAAGTAAACAGTTTAGAATAGAAATTAACTATTTTATATTGAATCTTCTCATCATGTTCTGTTGTATACATGGGAATGTTTTTTTTTCTTTTCTCATTTTGCTTAAATTTAAAATGAATTTTAGAACTTTTTAAAAATTTGAAGAAAGCTATCCATGGATTTAGAAAATCTGTGGGTCTCGAGAATGGCATTCAGTGCCTTGGAGCCATAATTTGCTAAATTGTCACAATAGCTTAAAAGCAGCTGTGCGGTGCAATGGATAAAGTTCTAGTCCTGGAATCTAGAAGACCTGAGCTCAAATGTGACCTCAGTCACTTACCAGTTGTGTGACCCATGGCAAGTCACTAAATTTCTATTTGTTTCCTCAACTGTAATATGGAGATAATAACAGCACCTACCTTGCAGGGTTGCTGTGAGGGCCAAATGAGATACTTTACCACAGTACAGTGCATGGCACATAATAAGAGCTATATGTTAGGCATTATGAGTGATAGTAGTAGATAAACCATTTCTTCTCTGCTTCTTAAAGTTAGACTCACTGTATCACTGGGCTAAGTTCAAAGTGAGTAAAAGACCCAACTAGCCAAGTCCTTGTCTTCTCTCCTGGGTGTTTTCCATATCTAAAAGGGATTTACTCTAAAGATCCAAGTCATATTAGTGTTCAACCATTAGTAGCCTGTCTGAGTCAAGTGGTTCCACTGCACAATGCCTGCAGGCCCTTCTCCATCATCTCTGGGGATGCTTGACACTGAAAATGATAAAATTGATATGTAAGCTTGTGAGAGGTTGATACACTTAACCTGTCTTGTAGAGTGCCATGCACCTTTGGAGGGCTCAATAAATATCTGTTTGATACAGCAAAATCGCCTAGCTCTACTGAGGTACCCAGAAAATACATATTACAGCAGCCAGAACTTCCTTTTTTTGAAAATTCACTGATTTAATATCCAACCTCTATTCCAAGACTCAAATAGGAATAAAGTATTTAACAGGGTGTTAGATAAAATGATTTAATCAAGAGCTTTGGAAAGGAGGCAATTACGGAGGAACTTGAGATAACAATAC